AATTAAATCAATAAGAGACTAACTGTGTCTGACACTGACTGGCCAACTTATCAGAAACCGGTTTTTGAAGTATTAAGGGTAATGTTTGCGATGCGGTGTCTTGTGATCAGGGTGAGCTTCCTAACCATCGGAATAATTAATTATAATTTCAAAATTTTTTGATACATTAGTTTTACATTTTCTTTATTTCGAGATTTTCAAAATTTCTTTCCTTTTTTTCTTTATTGCATTCTTATCTGGATTTAATTCTGGCATTTATTCTCTCGAGGTAAGGAAGATCACCATGACTAGTTAATAATTGTTATATTCTATATATGTGAGTCTATTAGTTGTCTCTGAAGAAGGCTCAAAAATGAGCCGAAACATGTAAGCGCTTTAGTAAAATAAAGAAGTTTTACGCTACGATAGTCGTGTTATTTGCGCAATGTCTCCCGCGCTTGACTCCTATTGCCCTTGTTCTTTCCTTGTTTTCTGATTTATAAGGAGTCTTCTCAGGTTGATTTATTATACGTTTATGTCTTATTCTATTGAGAGAGGGATACATCTTTTGATGTATAATTCTTATCCTCAACTTAAACCTCCTAAGCGGGAGTACCAATTCCTAATAAATCTCAAAGGGGGGGGGAAGAGTGGTCAAATAATACATCATTGGAAAGGTCTTTTAATTCCCTACATTCTTATGTTTGATTTTTTTCGATCAGTTCGTTCAGAAGATACAGTGTTCAATCTAAAGCAATCAAATCTTCATATCTTTGAACTTTTTCTTTAATATCTATCGAATCAGTTCATTAATGAGTTGCAAATAATGTCTAAATACGTACCATCGTGTACTTTAGCGTAGTAATTGTTCGAAATGTTGACCACCGACTTCCATACAATAATAGAGATTCTGCTCGAAATGTTGTCGCACATTCTGAAGCATTTGTGGGGTGATTTGACGGCATTCGTTGATGATACGTTGACGTAAATCTTCTAAAGAAGCTAGTTGCGTTGCATAAATTTTACTGTTCAAGTCACCCCACAAAAAGAAATCCAATAGCGACAAATCTGGAGACAGAGGAAGCCATTCAATAGGGCCTCTCCTTCTGATCCAACGACCCGGAAAAGTTTTACCCAAATACTCACGAACGAGCCGTGCATAATGCGGAGGAGCTTCGTCCTGTTGGAATATCAATTGATTTTCGAGATAATGCTCATCATTCTCGATAATATTAGTTAACGTTGGATCAATGATGTCTTCCAGCAATTCCAAATACATACCCCCAGTCAAATTATGAGATAGAAAAAGGGACCGACTATAAGAGTACCAAAAATGCCAGGCCAAACATTTAATTTTTGTGGGTGTTGGGTATGGATTTCGTGAAATATCCTCGGATTAGAATCTGCTCAATAGCGACAATTATGGCGATTCACCATACTATTTAGGAAAAAAAGAACATTCATCGAAAACACAGATATTAAAAAGAAAATTTGGATTATCTGTCACTCGTTCACTTATGACTTCACAAAATTGCAAACGACGGTCAAAATCGTTTTCATTCAGTTCCTGTAGCAACTTAATTTTATATGGATGGAACTTGTGGTGTTTCAAAATTCGTTGAATATTAGTTCGACGAATACCAGATACAGCAGCCAATTGCCTTGTACTCAACGTAGGACAGCAACATGGCCCAAAACCATCACTTCCACCGCTTCATTTCGTAAAGATTTTTCAGCATTTCGTTTTTTGTTAGCTACGGATCCAGTCCCTTTATATTTTATCATTAACTCTAAGACATAATTGCGATTGACATGTTTATTTGCATGTCGTTGATGAAACAGCTCAGCCGTTCTGTTAGCACATTCATTATTTCCAAAGAAAAGTGCAATTAATTCAACTCTTTCTGCAATCGAGTAACCCATAATGAAATTCACTTGTCGCTCACACTAGGAAGATACCGCATGGCCTTGCTTTAAGATTACACTGAGGAAAAGATATGCCTCGTAGGTTACTAATAAGCATTGAGAATACAAAAAAAAATCAAAACATTAGAGCACAGTAGAAATAACATCACACACATTGTTACTTCTACTGTGCTCTAATATTTTGATTGAAGTTGATGGAAGTCGGTAGTCAACATTTCGAACAATTACTACGCTAAATTACACGATGGTATGTATTTAGACATCATTTGCAACTTATTAATGAACTGATTCGATAGATAATAAGGAAAAAATAAGAAGACATGAAGACTCGTTTGTTTCAGATTGAACACTCTGTATCTTTTGAACGAATTGATCGAATTTAAATGTAGGGAAAAGACCTTTCTAATGATGTATTATTTGACCCTTCCCATTTGAAATTTTTTAGGAATTGGCACCTCCGCTTAGGAGATTGAAGTTGAAGGTAAAAATTATATGTCAAAAGATATCCTCCTCTCAATAGAAATCGACTTGTTTTTGCGTTTTTTCAAAAAATCATTTTTGTAGGAGTTGTACAGTCTGTTTCGTTTTCGTTGGACCATCCTGTATAAATAACGTTGGCAACCCTTGATCACAAGCGTGCGATTAGCTCAGCGTAAATGTATTAGGCTACCGTTTTAGGGATCGTAGGTTCAAATCTTGCCGGCGATGCGATGTGTTTTTTAATAATTAATTATAGTTAATAAGATAGAATATAAAGATGTCATAAGGCCATACTAGCTCCTTATCTAAATTTCTACTAGGGTCATGTTCACACATAGCATATACATATATTTATCCAGAGCATATAAATATGCAAAATTCTTTAATTTTTATATTTAGCAAACTCTGAAAACGTATAAAAAGAACATAACACAAATTTAACATTAAATTCGTGTTTAACGAACAAAATTATAATAATAAATAAAAGAAGGGCAACGAGCCAATTATAATATAAGATCTTTAATAAACGTATATATACAAACGTTTCGACACCGATCGGGTCATTTTCAATGTAAAATAACAAACACTCTTACATACATTATCAGAAAATTCGTGGGTCAGACCAAAAGACAATTAAAGACAAGATTGCACGAACATGTCTCCGATATTAATAAGAAGTCAAAATCTCCAACAGTGATCACATATCACCGCATTGACCAGAATCACAATTTCGACTGGGACAATGTGAAAATATTAGACAGAGAAGCTTCGTTTAATAAGAGATTGATATCGGAAGATTGATATGGTTCACATAAAACGACAAATGCATGGGCTAAACAAACAAAATGACACAGAATCCCTGCCAGAATCATACCTAAACATTATCCAATCTCTTTCCCCCTCTTAACATTGTCCTTGTTTCCTTTCTTATTATCTTTCCTATTTCCTTGTTTTCCTTTTGTCATAACGTTGCTTGACATCGTTGAACTTAAATGTTACTTACAAGTGTATCATGGCTTATTTTTTATTAAATATAACTTTTTTATTAAATATAACTTTGCTAATTGTGTGTTCCTATCGTCGTCTACTTTACATCATTGAGATAATATGAGGTATATATGTTTTATTTAATTTGCATTCTAATCTAATTTACTAAAAATGTACATCGATAATTTAATCTATAATGCAATGTTAATGTATTATATTATTTATTATTCCGATTGTAGAATTGCGAAAAGTGAGATTTGATCTCTTTTGATAGTTTTACATATGGACCGCATTTTATGAATACAACTAATTTTCACTGGACAATATAATTTAACCGAATTTTCTGATAATGTATGTAAGAGTGTTTGTTATTTTACAATGAAAATGACCCGATCGGTGTCGAAACGTTTGTATATATACGTTTATTAAAGATCTTATATTATAATTGGCTCGTTGCCCTTCTTTTATTTATTAATTTATTCTAATTGAGCCATATTAACATTTATTTAAAATTATAATAGTAAACTTAATCTACTTCACCTTAAACTTTAAGTAATCTCAATTCAAATTAATAAGACCTTTATTATGTAACTCTAACGACAGTAACGATATTGTTACATTGTTGTTGCGCAGGTTTTATACATGATAAAAAGATTGCACAACAATACAATGACATCGTTATTGTCATTAATAAGAGTTATAAAATAAAAACCCCTAATAAAGATCTAAAAATCAATAAACAGTTAAAATTTCGCACGACATCCGCTCACGATACTAAGTTACGCATGCGATGTCATCGAGCTCTAGACTAGACAACGAATCCGCATCGCGGAAAAGGGGCAACAATGGATTCGACTATCGATTTAATACGCACATTTTATTATAGGATCGTTTAAAAACTGAAAAACAAAAATTTTTTGGCAAGAAAATCGAAAAAGTCGTAGCACAAAAGTTATTTTGCAATAAGTAAAAAGGAACTGGAAAAAAACGTGTAACTTTCAAAATTGGTTTTGTTATTTTAATTAAAAAACAGACGATCGATTAAAAGGGCATACACACGGACCACTTGGCTCGATAAAACAAGCATCGACATGTTTACACGCACAGAAAAAAAATTTTAATTAAAATAAATATTTTTTTTAATAGTTCTCCAAGTAAATACTTACTAAATGTAAATATATATTTATTTGATACAAAAACCATTAATTTGATTTAAGTATCATCTTTTATTGAGCAAATATTTATTTACTCTAAATAAATGTTTACTTGGAACTATTCAAAGAAATATTTACTCAGATTTAGTAAATTTTTTTCAGTGCATTCATACACGTATATGTAAATAGATCGACGCTTGTTTAATCACACTATAAACGCCACAAAAATGTACCCTTATCCTTCACCTACCAAATGACTTTGAAATACAAAGGCATTAGTCCTTTTCTAACAAGTATATAGCGCTCGATAAAAACAAGAACTACACTGTAAAAAATCAATTTTAGCTTAAAAATGTATAGTGGACTTTTTGAGATATGCGAAAATATTAAGATTAACATTTTTGTGTTAATTTTACCATTTTTGCATTCTCGAGAAAGTCCACTATGGCTGCGTTCCTTAATGCTCGCAACGCTTGCAACATCGTTTGTCCTTGTTTAACATTTGATAAACGACAAAGCTGAAATGATTTTATGAGCGTTGTGAGCGTTAAGTGGAACGCAGCTGTTGTAGCCCCGAATGCTACCACGATTTAGTCCTGCATTTCGGCGTAGCAACAGGCTCACGGAAATGCAAGACTATTATCAAAAAGCAACCTTTGCATTTCGGCATGACAACGGCCCGCGGAAATGCAAAGCTGCGATTTTAACAGCACGTGCGGATTAAAATCGCACACGCGCCGAACAATTCCCGTGACCATATATGGTCACATCAGAAATCGTAATAAGACGCGATTTCTTTATATTCGGCTGTCTAATCGTAGATCGACGAGTTCGTTATAATAAGCAAACATAACGAGACGTTACGCGCGCCGCGAACGCCGGCGCATTACATGTCACATTACAACCGCAATACCGACCATCATCGCGGGCGCGAACGCAACAATTAAGAATAAGTGTACGAAATACTAACGCGAATATCCAATATAATACTTAACCGAATAATAGTAAAAAGGGGTTAAGAAAAGGGATGTTTTCAAATAAAATTGTGAAAAGTTGTGAAGTGAGTGTTCTCTCGTTACCCCTCGTGCACCATCCTTAGCGCTCCTCGTGGGTCCCAACCCTTCAGGCGGACCGAATCCCCAAAATTATATCTTGTTGCACCGAAAGGTACAACACAGCCTATATGTCTTTAAATTCAACGACGCAGTACAAAAAGAGGGACAAAGAAAATAAGGCTTAACAAAGAATCCTTGCATGACAGACATTAGTATATTAAGTATACAATATAACAATTGGTAATAAATATTTTAATTGTAGTCGATTAGTTAACGACGTAATATACATTGTAAGTAGCATTTAATATTCGTTTTTAATTGTGATACTGAAAATGACCAGATACATGATTAAAACGTTTATCAATATACATGTAAAGTGAATTAATATATAATATAATTGTCATCTTGCATTGGCTTTTATGCTCTTTTATCGATCAATTTTGATTTATATCTGATTATAAAACCTAAATTTTCTTGCATATTGTTAGAATATTATTCTATAAATTCTACGCGTATGATACATAATTTTATACCAGATACAAAAAACAGCGATAATTCTAGCTGAAGCAGCAAAATTTTTTTTTGCATGACAATAATTATTAGATTTTTATTATTTTTATATTATTAATAATAATTGTATTATTATTAAGATTATTATATTGGGTATGGGAATAAGT